TTAGGAGCACCCGATTGGGATGATTGATAAGGTTGTGAAGAATAAGGTTGAGGTTGATATGATTGTGATTCTCCATGATAAGAATGTGGCCGTTGAGGATAAGATTGTGAAGATTGTGGAGATAGATAAGGTTGTGGTTGTGGAAAACTTGGAGAATTATATTGATTATCCTGAGGAGGAGGGTATAAACCTTGATTCTGTGTTGACGATTGTGGCTGAGAAGCATCTCGAGGATCATCCCAGGTACTTACAGGAGGCTGCTTTGTTGTATCTAATTTTAATGCATATAAACATAGACATTAATTAAATGTATTTGGTAATGCAGCAACATGAACTTTTTGATCATTGTAAATGTAAATCAATATGCACAAATTATTTTTAGAAAAAAGCTTATATACCGACAAAATAATATCTTTTATAGTTGTGATCATACTTAAAAAAGAAAAAGTTAATATGTATTAGTTTACATAGCCATGCAAAAATGAATCAAGAATTTCATTAATATTCCTTACACAGGTTTACCTGACTGACCCAACCTGGTGGGAGAGGTCTCGAATCCATGTTAAAAACAAAGCGAGTTCTGGAGTTAGAAGAAGATTCTGTATCGGTTTATTTATAATAATTATAAGATCGTCGCTATGATGTCACTAATGGCGTGAAGGATGACGTTTGCTCTAAAAAAGTATTTGAAATATCTAGATATCGATATGTGCATACGCACATACGTATAAATATAATCGATGTGGTTCTTCTTAAAGCAAACTACAGCAATACGCAATACAGCAAGCGACAGCTTTGAAAGTAAGTAGTGCAAATCTTTGAGCACACTACACAAATATGTAATGCAATAGTAACAATGGTGAAATTTTGTGTGACAAATTTTTGAAATTTTTGACCTAATCTTTAACCCTCATTATCAAAGAGTTTCGAGTATATGAGTTACTCTGCGTCAACTTTAATGCTAAACATTATTGATATCCTTTTAGTTAGCTAAACGGGTAATAAAATGAAAAATGTATATTTTAATGGTTAGCTTCGTAGAAGGGTTTCGGTTTTACTTAGAAACACTGTCGTAATGTTATCACGTTACAATAATAATAGTATTACGAAATTATTACGATAATATGATATATATATGTCGACATATCGAAATTGAATAAGGGACAAACAATAATGATAACAATCATGAGTGGCCTAAACAATTCAGGAAAATTGCCACCTATGCGTCCGGTCACAAGCTGGTACGTTACATATTTATCTAACAGGTAACTGTTCCATTTTTATAATCTTCTCCGGTTATAGGTTTTTTTTATCCTGAATTAATGACACAAATTTATAAATAAAACGTCAACAATTTTTTATATAAAATTTATAAAGATCGTCTGTTTAAGCTTCATTTAAATGTTTTTGATGCGGAACCAACCGGTAAAGCTAACAATAATTCAAATAAATTGAATTCTTCCTATTTTCTTAATGATTTTTGTTCTTATTGGAAATCCTCGGGTTCGGATTATTTATTGCCATTATTATTATTATTATCGTTATATTGTAATTGTGGCCGAAATGCGATGCAATTTGTACACGTTATTGAATTCCGCCTTCCTTAAATAGTAACTTATCAGTTTCATATTTAAATAAACAATTTTGGCCAATTGAAAATGATTAAAAACGGTTAAAATCGATCATTTTATTGTTTGGCAATCACGGTTAATATAAATTGTACCAAATTACGCTTAACCTGCGATTTTCTTCCCACATATGGTTATTCTTGTTTTAGCTCGGTTAATGTAAAAGTTTTTTTCGATTCAAGTCTTGTTCATCGTTTCACCTTTTAAATAGAAAACAAACAAATCTTGCTATTAAATTCAAATAAAATCTAGTCTGTAGTGATGTTTTTTTCGGAAATGTTGTTTTTTCTTCTTT